TCCCAGCTACTTGGGAGGCTGAGGCAGGAGAATTGCTTGAACCCAGGAGGCAGAGGTTGCAGTGAGCCAAGATCACGCCATTGCACTCCAGCCTGGGTGACAGAGCGAGACTGTCTCAGAAAAGAAAAAAGACGTGCAGATACAGAGTAGTGGAAGAAAGAGAAAACCTTTAGCAGAAACTCTGTGCACCCTCTCCCCACCCCTGCCCTATATCTGAGGTTGCTCACCTCTCCACCCTGCCTCAGTTCTCACTTGCTGCAGCCAACCGAATTTAACTGCTGCCACTGAAGGCTGCAGCCCAGCCCTGATTTCCCACCCCTTTGCGATCCCTCCCTGCTGGCTGCTTAGTTCTGCCCAGGCTGGGGTGCTGAGAACTTATGAGGGAGCCCTCAGATGCCAGTGTACCCGCATGTGCCCCATCCTCAGTCTGGAGAATGATTTTAAGACTTCCCATCTCCTCTGATACTAGAACATGGGCTCCTGGATACCATGTGGGTCAATAATCCCCATCCAACCCATCTCTGCTTGCTGAAGTTACCCATTCCTCATCCCAGAACCAGAGAAGAGTGTTTCCAACGGGATCTAGAAAACCCTCTGGGTGCCCTTGTGCCCTGCAGTTGTTTCTGCAGTGTGACTACAGGAGCTCCCAGGTGGACTGTTTAGCAGTGTCTTTACTAAAGGGTACTGAGGATGCAAAATATGTCCATGGTCATTGCCTTCTGTTTTCATCCACTTGTTCCTGGACTTCACTATTGGATATTTTGCCAGAAGGAAGAAACATCTTCCTTTCCTCTGTCTTATCACTTAGAAATAACATGGTAACTTTTGCATAACAGTAAAATATGTTATATTTGGAGGCACTCAGCTTTGCAATCCAATTACTGTTTATTCAAATGTGTAATTTGAACATCTTGGCCAGGTATGGTGGCTCACACCTGAAATCCCAGCACTTTGGGAGGCCGAGGCAGGTGCATCACTTGAGGTCAGGAGTTCGAGACCAGCCTGGGCAACATGGCGAAACTCTGTCTCTACTAAAAATACAAAAATTAGCTGGGCGTGGTGGTGCACACCTGTAGTCCCAGCTACTTGGGAGGCTAAGGCAGGAGAATCACTTGAGCCTGGGAGGCGGAGTTTGCAGAGAGCCAAGATCATGCCACTGCACTCTAGCCTAGGTGACAGAGTGAGACTTTGTCTCAAAAAAAAAAAAATGAATATCTTCACCAATTAGTCCAGAGATTTTTGTTACTGAATCTTAATACTACATGTCAAATTCATTGAAGTTCAATTAGCCAGAAGAAAGTCTCTTTAGACACACCCTGTACTGTATTCACTTATCTGTCATGGTGTATTAGTTGCACCAGCAGGAATGGATTCCTATTTTTAAGATCAGAAAAATCTAAATTCGTCCTCCAGCTGTAACCTGCTGCCTCCATAGTCCTGTGGTATTTGTTAACTCAATACCTGGGGCAGTTTCATCGCCTGGTTGTTAGGAATTGGTTTGTTCAGGCTGCATTGAAACTATAAATATTCCCTATTCAGATGTTCAGTAAAAGTTCTTTTTAGATCAAGCTTTCCCCTTGTTGCCTCAAACTGACTGACTTCTCCCACCCCAGGCAGGAGATCCCAACAGGGACCCCTCTCTACTCTCCAGGAATACCTGGCATTGGTGACAGCGCCCCTTTCCAATTCTGAAATGGGTGAAAACCCTGCTGGCATGTGGCACCTCATATTAACAATAAGGGCCTAACAGAATGGCCAATTCTCTTCTGTACTTCCAGATGTCCAAGTGGCCCTGGGTCTCGTCTTCTTATGTAATTTCATGAGCAATTGGTTAACTCCTGGAAAAGCCACCATTAGACCTGTGCCACCTTCCTCCCATAGTCGTCATGGTGGGTTTTGAGGGTAGAAATGGTGGTAGTAGTATTTCTTCTTGAGAGATGGTGGTTGGATCTAAGAGTCACATATTCAGAATTTCCTTTAGCTTCCCCTAAATTATAGATCAAGAAAATACTGGCCGGCCGCAGTGGCTCACGCTTGTAACCCCAATACATTGGGAGGCCAAAGTGAAAGGAATGCTTGAGTCTAGGAGTTTGAGATCAGCCTGGGCAACATAGTGAGACCCTTGTCTCTA